AATACGGATGGATTTGTACGTATCTTGCATTCTTTCTTCAAGACAATTTCCAAAACACTGTTTTGGCATGCTCCATCTCACAAAAGTAAGCCTGCCTAAGGAAAAGTAACAAACCATTTTTGTAGGAAATGTCGCCATGACTTACACCCAAATACCTCAATTAATGTGACATGTGATAACATTATAATAAACATATATAATTACTCGGCACTGCATAAAGATTCTGTCCATATGGCGGTAATCACCAATTGTTTGGCGATCATCACTGACTAATCGTTAAATAATTTTGAATATTTTCAGATTCTTGTGGAGAGGGTCCCACAGACCCTTACGAGGGCAACAAGGTCCCCGCGGGCACAGGGTTGGCGATCTCTGCCTTAACTTTTCGAATATTCTTCGACGACCGCTTGACGGGTGAGCTTATCTAAAATGTTTATTTGCTGTACTTTCCTTACATTGCAGTTTCTTGTTAATTGTCAGGCATTTTTAAAATTTGATTACTTTTCTCAAGACGTTAGGAAGACACATATCAAATAGAATTCGGAATAGTCCCCATTCGTTGATAGGTATAGTAAATAAAAATGGCAAATAAGTGTACTGGGAACCCTAAGCGATTATTTATATCGAAATTTATGTTTTTATTCGACTAAAATATTTATCTATGACAAAGTAAAACTGAATGAAATTCCGTTTTATAAGTTATCTGAATATTACGGGATGAATTTATTTTGCCCACTCCTGATTTGAAAAGTCACACAATAGCGAAAACACGTTTGGTACCTGTAAATGTTTCAGCGTTTACAAATAAATAACATGTCAGTTGCTTTTGTTTCAGCTGAATTGTATGCATGCACTGCATAACACACAATGGTTTACTCATAACGTCATATCATGTGCTAAGTTTCGCCATAATAGTTACTTCAACCGTGCGATGTCATTATCTGACACCACGCAAGTCAGAGATGACATAAACATCCTTATTTTTCCAATGATTTCTATAAACTGTTACAAAAATCATCACAGCTTAAGAACATGGCTGATTTCGTTAAAAAAACAACTAAATTGTGACTAACCATAATGCCACTATATATCGTTTTATTGCTATTTTAATTCAAATCCCAGTGGTAGGCATTTATACATGATTATTGTTATGTTCATATTATTGTTCTTAATACCTTTCTTATTTCCCCATACATGCTACATATCCTGCGCACATGTAATATAGTTGCAGTGTTTTTCTTTATGGTATTTATGTTTTAACTCCCTAAATCATTACCACCATCATAGAATAGAAGCTGATGTTTTTTGACGTAAATTCTTCTATACGGAAGGGTCATTCGGCAAAAAAGTGAAAGGAAAACGTGTAACGAAAATGTGTAAGATCCGTATCAATAAATCGACAACAATGGTTACCTATGGAACGTCGTGTTTACTCGGCATTGTCGTGTTACATTAATGCCGTCAACAATCCGCTTTCGTTATTGCGGAAAGAACTGAGCTGTGAATCGCTTGTAGAAGAAGTGCATCGTGGAGTAGATAATTTTGTGCTGGTAAAAACGTTTTAGAATATCACAAGTACGTATCTTATATAATAATTATTACATTACATTACATTACAATATATTTCATTTCATTACAGAGACGTTGTCAGATTGTTTCAGAACCTTCTGAATAGGAAAGACATATTTACTACCTATACAGACTTGTGTTAGTCTTCTGGGTAGTAGCGCAGTGTGGACTATATACAAGTTCACATGATGTTACAACCCAGAAGACTAGTACCGAGATAGCTCAATGCCTTCCAACACTGGCTGCGCAGTGATTCAGGGGAGAACCAGCCATGTTGGCATAGACTTTGCATTAGCTCCCAGTTTGAAAATCAACTAGGTTATGGGATATTGTGATTGAGGACTGTCATGTGTTTCTCCAGTCTCTCATGGTGAATGTCAAGATAATATGTAGAAATAGGCTATGCCTCCTCCTTCTCTGTCCTTGACCCTTAACAGGGCATGGTGGCACTTCATGGGTTGGAATCGTCCATCCATGAAGCTCTCTCTAGGGAATATAATCAGGTGGTTTCCCCTTGCCTGCCTGATTCTATGCGGTTGACTACATTAGGTAGTTCATCTGCCTTCGGGGACGATTTCTCGCCCTCAGAACAAGAGAGTGCCCTGCCCAGCCTAGCTGGCTTGGCTGCTTATCCTGGCAGCCGCTCGGTCCCCCTCCACATCAGCCAAAGGGAATTTTCTCTTCCTCGAGCCTAAGACCTTCAAATGGCATTTCTTAGTGCTCTCCAGTACTTTTAGAGGACCTCATCCTCTAGGCTATGCCTGCTTTGTTATTGTTTATGATAACCTTTCTGTTTCACACAGTTATGTACGGTCTTTGCAATTGAAACACCATCCTTAAATAGCATAAGAATGAATTTGGACTCTGTGATCAATCCAGACTGTATACTTTAGTGCCTAAGAAACATATTGACATATTAGCTGAAATGAAATGGTCTCTTTTACTTTCTTTACCACAAAGGAAATATTCTGCAGTATCCATTTGATTGCAAGCTGTATTGATCCCAAAACCAGTGTGAGAAGATCCCTACTCCTGTTTGATATCTAACCCTGGCTGCCAAGCCGATACTTAGTTGTCCTTGTTTGTGCTGTAGGCCTACACCAGGAGGAAAGTGTTAGACATTGCAGCATATTTTTTATCATACCAAAGCAAGTAATCTGAATTTAGGTGAGATTTCAGGTTCTCATTGCTGCAAGTATAAAGATGACTGCTTTCTGGGATGTTGCATTATGTAGCCTGGTAGACCAGACCACATGGCACAACGTCATAGAAGACAATCATTTTCACACTTCAGATTTAATTAGGGGTTATGACAGAAAGATAAAGGGAAAAGAAAGCATATCATAAAGCAGATATAATGAAATGGAGATTAAACAGAAGAAAGAAGGATAGGGTTGCATCCTACAGGAGAAGTTGATCTGTGGGGAGAGAACTGGAAATTGGACTACAATAATAGATGAAACTGTCAAGGTCTAAGTTTAAGAGAACAAGAATTATGATGCAATATAGATTCTGAATGATGATGTGCAGAATCTTTGGTGTGGAGTTATGTCAGCTGTCAAAAAGTTTCCAGTGTTCTTTTTGCTGTCAGGGTCTACTGTCATTATTGTGTTCACAGGTATCTGCCACTGGATCTTGACCCAGGTCAGTTGAATTCAGAACTTGTTACAGTATTTTAGAAAACAAAATGGTCTATAATATCACAAAGAAAAGTGTTAAAAATATTACTTATTTGTATGTATATAGCACATTATATTCGTCGCAGAGATCACATGGTCTGGGGCATGGGCCTTAATTGCTTAAACACAGATCGTGAGTTCGAAACCCTCCCAAAGCATGGATATTTATCTGCATCTTTCTGTGTAGGTAGAGACCTTGCGATGGTTGCTCACTCATTCGAGTTATACCAAATGTCTAAATAGCTAAATAATCCTCCCATGTGAGGTCGCCAAGGGCCTTCAAGAAATATAGAGCCATGGCGTAAGTCAGACAGTAAAACAGTATATTATAATATCACTGGTAAAAACAGTGATTTAGAAAATTGAAAGGGGGAGTTCAGCTTCCCGCCACATGTACAAATAAAGAGATATCGATATATTTCAATCAGTACTCTCATAGATATCGATTTTATTTGTTTTCATGCAAAATAGTAGTAGTTGTCAAAACACGTATTGGACTTGCATATTATGGCTAATGCTATTGAATGATTAAAAATATTTTGGTAGTGAGTATGCCATATGTTTATATGATAATAAATATTAGATACATTTGTTAGTATGTTGGCATCGACCATGTATCGATATTTTGCCAGTCAGCAGTTGTGAGGCATGTTTAGTGCGTATTGATAGCGAGTGAACAGCTGTGAAATTGTGCAATTTTAAAACGTTTGGGACATTATTGGACTAATCCTTTTCGAAAAATATATAGAAAAATTGATGTATAATACTTGTCACGTTTCAAATTTTGTAACTTCTACCAGATTTCGTAATAAAAATTAATTATGGAACTATATTTGAAGGAGCACGGCTCCATTGCTAGGACCTTTTCACAATCAGTGTGATTTTGAAGCGTTTGGCTGGAGGGTGAGCAATGATAAACGAACTGATGATACATTTTGGCCTTTCATTTATCAACTTTAATGCGGAAAAATCTTCGATATTTCGGATCACGCAAGGAGGTAGGCATTAGTGCCTAGCTGTCAGTTTGTTTTTGTTTTCAGGTAATAGTTTGTAGCTGTTTTTCGAGGCCTTGGAAAACGAGAAGCAAGTTCGTAATAATGGTGGGTCTGAGTCCTTTTGTCCGTGTATGTTCTTGTAAAAGAAGGGTCCCTCTAAGGTTGTATTGGTGTGTAGTTTATTGGCCATGTTTGAGGGACATCATGTTCCGAATTAATTGTAATACGTGATATTTGTGTTGAGCGATTGGGAATATAATAGCGAAGTGCCTTTAACTTATAATCGATTGGATGTTGTTGACTAGCTTGCACGACTGTGTCGTACGGACAGAAATAGACTGCATATCATTCCGTCATTTGATTATTTGTCGTCGTAAGAGTGTTAGAGCTTAAACAGGAGGCCTTGGTGACCTCGGAAGTAATTTAATGTTCCCCGTATTTATAAGTTTTGACTAGTTCTGTGCATCACTTTCTTGGCCGGTCATGGTTTTGAGAATATAAGCCTCAAGTAATTAATTTGGAAAACATATTGAGTAATCAAGTTTCAGAAGTATTTCAGATCGCATCCAGTCAATTTTTAGAGGCTTTGTCATATATTAAGACTACAGAACTATTTATAGAATAAGCTATTGTAAATACAAAGCTTTTATTACTGGCAAGGTGAATCAGGTTGATTATTGGATATCATAGTTATTCGTATGTGAATTCCACCTATTGTCTTCTTGTTGACAGGAATAGTTTGATTGTGGCATGATTGACTCCATGCAGAGCGTCTATGGCCGAGCAACCTAACTGTGTGTCAGGGGGGTCTGAATCGCTTCTCGATACAGCAGGGGCCGCCATCACACAGAATACAGCAAGGTTTGAGAAATTCTTTTTCATTTTCTCATAGGTTATAGACATAGAAGACACAAAGAAGAAGTATTTGTGTGTTGTATAAAGACAGAACTCATAAACATTTAAACTCCAATTTACAACATGTCACATGCACAGTCTTAAGGCTGTGTTACAGTTATTTTATCAGAAGGCCCATCATTTTTGTTTGCTTTTTCTGTTGGCCTTTTTTATGTACCCATGAATTTGTAAAAGGTCAACATAATGTCATCTTGATTTGCCATGAAGTAAAGTAATATGTCAACAGCTGGAGAAATTCAGTTCTGTGAGTAGTTAAGAAAAATATAATTACATATTAGAGATAATCTGAGACTGTGGGTATCTGGTTCCTGGATAATAAGCGCTCTACTGTGTACTGTGTTTGTCTTTTTTTTTCCATAATGCTGAATGAAGCATTGCAGCTAGACACGAGAAATTTCATGTGATATCTTGTTTGTATATTAAAAAGTACCAGAAGTGATATTTTTAATTTGTGGTGGGAGTAAAGTTTCTGACGTGGTGACCTTTTGAAATGTTACCATTTTAGGAAAAAATGTTTGGGAGGATAGAGTTAAATTTTAACTTAACAGAAATTTATTTGTGAGTGAGTTGGATTGAACTAGTCAAGGATCTATTTAGTGCATATTTTATTTGGATGACCAAGACAGAAAAGTAGTATAAAATATAACTTATGCAACAGGTTTTTGAGTGTAAATTAAAACTGAACTGGCTCAGGATTGGTCCACAAGCAGGATTTTATTTTAGTTTCGGTGAAACATTGTTTTCTAATAAGAGTTTATACGTGAAAGAAATATACTGTAGTGTTGTCATTAAATATTATTTTCAGAATATATAATTTTATGAAATTGGTGTTTGGATACTTGTAAGTTGTATTAGTGATCTTTGGAATTGAGGCAGTATAATTCCAGTATGTAACAGTACAGTGCAAACTTCTTCTGGAACTGCTGTTAGTTATTTGACTGATAGAGAAGCTGAACTGAGAAGTGCACTGTTTTGGCAGCTGAAAGTCTGTAACATATTGTAACATGTAGCATTGATTACATGCGGGTTCTTTGTAGCTGATGGATTTATTAAACTGTTAAAGTTCATTATGCTTTGTCACCGCACTTGAAATAATGGTCCTCTATTATTTTTCTCATCCCTCAGTCTGTCTGTGAGTCAAACTTCTTCTCTTGTAAAATTCTTCACTCATGTGTGCTCTATCCAGTTGCACTTGTGCCAGTATACAGCTTTTACAGTGCTGTTCTCAAGGCCCCCCCCCCCACACACACACAGATTGTTTAGTGGCGTAGAATTTGACACCTTGCTCGCTGTTTTACACCTACTACAACTACTTTAGTTGGTTGCAGAAGCTTGTATTTAAAGAACTGGTGATTGTTCTGTGACACTCCCTGTCTTTCTATCATCTCAGAAAAACTAGCAGAACATGCCAGAAGGTTTTAGTAATTACACACATGGTGCTACTGGCCAGCTGTGATGCCACTCCAATTGGAATGGTGTGTTGGTTGGACACCCATTCTCAGGTCCATAACAACATTATGAAAGCCTTGTTCAGTTCAGGTCACATCTTCACAATAAGTTTCTTTAACACTAACTTTAATTTATTCCTAAATATACCGAGTACTGTCTTCTCTTGAGTTTTCTGAACAAAAATTTATATGCATTTGTAGTTTTCTCCATGCATACTGTTTGATCTGCATATTTGAAAATTATTGATTAAATCATTGTGTTGAAACTAGGTCAAGAGTACAAATTGTAAACCTTGCTTTTTTATTACATTTGTCTTGGAGCAAGATAATGTCTTCGGCACTCGGTTTGATAAGTAAAGTTTCACTCCTGTAAGAATGTAAGGTAATTAAGGACAGCCATACTAAACTTTTGGGTGTCGAGGAGCTAGGAATCTTATCTCTTTAGTTTTCCTTATGTAAAGCTGGCATGTCAGACTATCATTTTGATTGGAAGGAATATCTTCTGTTCACAATTCTTTCCATAGCCATTCAAATTCATTATCTATCCTGTCATTTGATGCTGTATTTTCTGAACCACTGATAGTGTTGTTAAAATAATCACAGAAGAATTTAATACTGAATTTCAAGCAGTAACAAATAATATAAAATGTTGTGTATGGTGTTGACAAAATTTTACCCTTGCAAATAAATGTGATAAGTAACTGGTACACTTCACAGAAAAATAATTTCTAAAGTATATGCTTGTTGCAAGAAAAATTGTTTGTCTACAGTCAGATTTGAGCATGGAACCTTGAAATCAGAATGCCAGTGAATAATTTAAGGATAAATAAAATAAATTCCTGCTTTCTTCTCACATCTAGCTTTGCACAGATAATACTGCAATAATGCGAATGATAAAACTGATTACTTTTTGCTTGTTAATTAAGAGTTACTAGACTGTGCATGGTTTGCAAACAGCAATTACATATTCTTTCTTGAATATAACAGTCTGCATGTTTCAGTATCCATTTCCAACTTCTCTTGGTGTGAGTTCCACATAACATTTATTAAATATACAGTTGAGTAATGTATAAATACATAGTTTAAATGAGGTTTTGTTGGTGCAAATACAACATATGCATTAAAAAGGAAACAGTTGTGGACTTAGGCTTCCGTACAGTCTTTGCATCAATGCTGTTCTGTTGCACTACTGACAAAGCTACCACTGGATGTCAGTAGCCAAGCAAAGTGTATTGTTCACTTTGGTCTTGCTGTCTTACAACTCAAAAAAATTATTAACATTAATTGATACTTCTCTTCAAATTAGGCAGACATACTGGTTGGTGTCTTTCGTTAATAGACATCTGGCATAAATCTTTGTAATTAATGGAAGGCAGAGAAAAGCCACATATGGACAAATACAGAGAGATTATGAATGACTGGAATTAAGACACCAACTGTGTGCTTACATCTTTAAAGTGCTTGATTTTTGTTGCACAGAGTGTACAATCCAGAACTAGGGTTGTTTGAAATTCTCAGGTGATTTATATAGGATTCTGTACATTCTGAGACCAACTTTTCATAATTGTAGGGATATTTGATGCACTGAGCTGACTCCTTTTCCCAATCCACTTCCTTGCCCAAACAGATCTCCTTTTCTTCCATTTTCTTTTTGATAAAGTTGATATTTCACTCAGTAGGAGGGCAATAGCTACATGGACGCTAACATGCATTAGTTTTGTTGATACGATTTTGATTTTACTGGCATTCGGTGAACTTGCCTAAATGTGGACACACGCTTTAAATTATGTTGCTAGAATCGAAGCATTTGACTAGTGTTGACGAGCCTTAACCAACTAACTCACCCCATGGTACACAGTACTATTTATGAAGATAGAAGTACACTCAACTAGTGAAGAAATATCTGCGTTTTATGAAACCTGAAGGTTCATTACTTTGTTCACAAGAGCCTGCCAATGGCCCTTGTTCTGAATCATATGAATATAATCCATACCCCCAAAACCCTGTTTCCCTAAGATCCATTTTAATTTTACTTCCACTTATTTGTAGGTCTTCTAAGTGGTCTGTTCCCTTCAGGCCTTTTAACCAAACTTTTGTTTGGTTTTTTCTTTTCCATGTGTGTCCATCTCTTTCTCCTTGATTTTATCAGTTTAATACTATTTGGTGAAGGAACTGTATCTTTAACCCATCTAAGTAATATTTAAGAATTCAGTTGGTACATCAAAGAAAACATCTCACTTCACCATAACAAAGATAAAGTGGTTAATACCATTCAAGGAAATAATCATTGTTTGCAGTGAGCATCGTACAAAACCCAAATAAAAAATTAATTATTATTGATTGTTGAAGCAGATTTGGGCTTATGGTTACCATAGTTCTTTAAAGGGTTAAATAATATTTAGGTGAGGTCTCTTACTTGGAAGGAAGAATGTAAAAACATTTTTTAAAGCAACATAACAAAGGATAATATTTACATGACAAGGAGCTTTATAATTATATTGTTAACTGACTCCATGGTACAGGGATCTTCTTGAGCAGATAATAATTGCCACTATTTATGGAACCTGAAGGTACAGTACTATATTCACAGTAGGCTACCTCTGGACCACTATCAGTTCTACCAATTAGAGTAGTTAAGAAGGTTGTTGTTGGTGTAAAATAATGGCAAAACAAGAAATGCACACAAGATTTTGTTCATAGAACTTTACATTTCAAAGACAGAGAATGAGATTATACATAATGTTAGAATGTAATAAAAATGGGCTGTGAATTGTATTGAAGAAACTCAGTATAGGTTTAAATGAGATTGGTGTTTTAGAGTTTTACTGTCGGATTTTATGTTTTGATGACAGATTTATTGCACTAAAGCAGTAACATTATATGTAATAATGATCATCTTTATATTTGTATCAGTTTTCGTGTGATAAAGGAATATTTGTGGGGCATGATCATCAAAACTAGAAACATCAGGTGTGACTCATTCAGTCTGGAATGCTCGAGTACTGTAGGGTTACAATGTATTGGATCGCAGTGTTTTTAATATGAATGTGTTATAATAAAATGGTTTAGCAGATGTTGTCCACAGTTTCTTAGTGTTTCGTTTTTGTACGATATTTTATACTTGGAAGTGGAATAGACAAATCATCATAATCCATGATGACAATGGTAATAATGTGATCAGGCTTGATTTGAGCCATTGGGTCTATGATATTTTTTGGGTAACATTTTATGCTTTTTAATGCAATTTTAGGTAAGGTACTTATAAAAACATACCTGCTTCATACTATATTACAACTATAGTGTTGTATCATTTTATTATAAAAAGCACTGTTAACACAAACATTTAAATTTATTCATATACTGCACTTGTCATTAAGTATATCACTGTTAAGGGTTTCTTTACACATTCAAAGATTATAATTTTTTTCTAATAGAATTGAGTATAGTAGTTATAATTCATAGCAGACTTTTGGAAGGTAATTAGTATCTGTGATTATGCGGTGTCTTATCAGAAAGACATTCGGTTTTAATTAAATTTGTTTGCTAAAATATGTGAAAAATGGCACTGCGTGATATCACTCATCATAACTGCTATGGAAGAATTAATGTGTAGTACTTGTGTTTGCAAAATCCTGAAGTAGTACTGAATTAGGTGGCATTCACAACAGAACAGTATATTGTTTTTGGTGGAAGATTTTACCAGACCTGTAGTGGTATGCATTTTATCGTGAATTTTAAATAAAATCTGAGTGCATGAAAGTTTCGAGTAACTATGCATAAACAGATTAATTAACGGTCTTGAAATAATGGTCATGACTTGTTTAGCATTTCATGACACTGGGCATTTAAAAGGAACCAAAGGAAGCATCCTGGGACATTTAAATTTTTAGACCCCAAAACTTTTGAACACACCAGATGAATGTGTAATTTCACAATTCAACAGGCCTTACATTCAGCTGAACTTCACATCTTATAATGGTATTGTGGAGAGCCTTGAGATGGCAGCATAAAACATTTTGATGCACAAAAGATTTCCTTTGCTGTTGTTCCAAGTGAAACTTTTGAAAAGCATAAAATCTAGGGTTACAGTTGAGAGCAGACCAAGCTGAAACTTTTATTTTATCTGCAAGGCTGTTTTTGTTTCTCCAAAATAATTACAGTCATTCAAAGTGGGAAGAAGCTGTTTGACTTTACTCAATTCATGAGCAGAACTTACATGCTAATAAAGCAAACAGTAGTGCTTGAAACAGGCACGTGAATGTAGTAGAAGCAAGAGCAAAGTCTTATCTCTGAAGTTACATCATTAAATTAAGGGTAAAATCACTGGCATGTGAGAAAGAATAGATTTGAGATGTTGCGAATCAGTATATATTACTATACTATATTAACAGTAAGAAGTGCTGTGAGAAAGAAGATAGAACACCAGGAAACATTGCACATTTTTTTAAAAGCATTGCTGCATAGTCTCAGAAAGTCTGTAAGATGTGTCAATAGCGGGATTATACGATGAGATGCGAAATTTTTTCCATACACAATTCAGATTTAACAGTCCCATTGTGGTTATACAGATAAGAGAAATACGTCCATGCTCTGTTTCTGTGGTTTTTAGAAGAATGAATGATTTATGTTAACAAGTGGAATATGTGTGTGGGGGTCGCAGAAAAATTGTGTGATTACAGCAGCAAAAAGTTGCCTTGTGGTGAATTGTTTCAACTCATATTTGGACAACTTTTTTTAAAGATGCTATGAATGCTAACTATTAATCACCATGACCATGAGTAACTATGGGTGGTGTTGGATGCAGAGTGTTTGTTTTAAGTGTTATCACTTGGTTTTCACTCATTAGAGACTGCCGTGTTCAATGACACAAAAAATAATCATTATATATTTTGGTAAATGCAGGCAATTAAAAGAGGGATTGAGATTTTTACAGATCTGAAAATTTGGATTGTGGATTTCTAAGCTGTGTTGCCATTTTCAGAAGATGAATGTTCTCTAAATTTTGGTATTGATCTACAAAGACTATATGGCAATATAACCCAGAAGATAACAGTCTAAGCTTATAATTAAAATTGGGATGTTCTATTGAAAATGCCCTGTATATTGTCATTGAGCAGATTCCAGGGAAATAATTAATAGTATTTTTCCAGCATGAACAGTCATCCAATGCCAATGCTAATGTTAAAGATGTGCATTGTCAGAGTAAATTAAAAATAAATGTAGTGAAGACTTTATAATTTCTATTTTTTTAAGAAAGATGAGATGGGCAATACATGTCTTGCACATAGGACAAATAAACACACGGCATTTGGATTTGAAGTCTTGGTTATTGGCGGTTACTTGGAAAGTTTAGAATTGATAGGTTGGTAATAACAATATGATTCTAAGAAATAGGTTATGAAGATCAGGACTTGCTCATCACAAATTTGAATGGCAGACTTTGATCCTTTGGGTTAAAAATCAGTAGTTAATATCAGTGTAACAATCACAGTAGTATGTCATGAGGTTGAGTGTCACAGGATTCTTTAGATAATGCTAGTAATAGTAACAGCAATTACAGTATAATTTATACATCTGTACACTAGCCACTGTGTTCTTGTCTCATAGTATTTTGTCGTATTGTGCAACTTAGAAGTGCATTTATCACAGTTGATTTTATTGGTCAATTTTAAAGGGAACTGGCGATGATGTGTTACAATCAGGATCACTGAATTCTTGGACTGTGTCCATCATGTGTGTTTTTAAAAAGAACACTACATTTTGAAAGCTAGATCTGCTTCTGCCCTAAGGTTAAAAAGTGGGGGAAGGGCACTGAACATCCGGTGATTGAGGTTAGCTCTTTCAAACCCAACTGAGTATTTGTCTCCCCCCCCCTTTTAATCTTAGAACAGAAACAGATCCAGCTTCTGAAATGTAGCATTCTTTTTAAAAACACAGATGATGGACAGTCCAAGAATTCAATGATCCCAAATGATATTATTAGCAGGCAGACCTATTCTGATTTTTTCTTTGAGACTTTGAAGTAATGGGTGACAGCATATTCCTTTATAAAGGAGTTGATAATGATAGCAATACTTGTAGTGAAAGAATTGCATTTTCTAAAAGTTCTATAGATATTTCCAAATTGTCCCTAAATGCTGATGTCAGTTGACTGTAGTCTCACAAAAGATTAACTTCTGCATAGTAACAACTTCCATATAATTTCTTTATTGCATACAATATAATTTTTTATTTGTCCCTGTTGGAATGACTGCATTAAGTTCTGTTTTTATTCTACATAAATAAAGGTATCATAACCAAGTTAATGATTATTTCTTTCTGCATGTATGAAATTTGACATTATGTTTATAGCTCATGCAACAGAAGTAATTTAGTTATTTTATGCAGGAATTTAGCATTGTTCTGTTTATCCAGCTTGTAATATTTTTTGAAATAATGCTATTCATGCATGGAAATATACTGAAAAGATGATGTATGTTAATTTCAAAAACATACATGAAATAACAGCACATTGAAAATTAATAAAGAACATAAAATGACAGTGAAGAAGATGAAGAATTCTATGCAGATTTTTTTTATTTTTCATTTTTTGTTTATCCTGAAGCACAGTGAAATACAGGATTTTAAATCTGCCAGAACTTTTCTGTGGTAGTGTTTACACTGCAGTCTGTTGGTTTTGGTGGGGATATGATTTTGCATGTTGTGGCAGCTATGACAAGGATAAGTTTTATATGCATTGCATGTGGATTTGGAATGTATGTTATGTTTGTAGTGGACAGGCAACTATGGTTCCCGAAATCTTCAGGACAGTTCTGTGTTTAGCACGTGTCAGTTCAGTTTGTAAACTTCAAGTTGCACAAGAGGTTTTGAAGGTAACAAAGAAATATTTCAATTTGTTGTCTGTTATGTTTTACTAATATGATCTCTTTTTCTCCTTTATTTATTTAACATTGCGTAATAATAATGCTTCTGTTGCTTAGATACAAAACTGGATTGAGTGGCTCAAGGAAACGTGGAAATTCATCCAGTCATCACACGCCTAGCAGGAAACGCAGCCGGAAAGACGGTCAAATAGTTAATCCCGCAAAAGAAGACATTTTTGAAGAAGAAAACCCATCACTGTCAGGTCTACGCATAAATCACAGAATCAGTAAGGACTCTCTTGCTTCAGAGTCTGTCAATTTTAATACGGTGAACAAAGCCAACAGTCCAGCAGTAGGTCTTTCAGAGAGCCAAGATAAGAAGCCATCAGTACTGGGAGTAGTGGACAAGAACGATTACTGCAGAGCAGCGAGAGGTACAAAAGTGAGAGGCAGAAGAGGGAGAGGACATAGTAGAATAGCTCAAAAGAACAATTCCAGTTTTGATATTGCTGTAGCACCTGTTTATCCACTAGGAACAGGTCGTGGAAAACTCGGGCATTCGTTGGAATTCGCCTCAGCACAATTTGGCAGTATCGCAACGTCGACACGTTCTCGTACTGCTGCTGCAGGAAGGAACGCGATTCAGAGCACATTCTCTGATCAGGCAAGGAACATCAGCAAGATTGACAACGGAGCAGCGGCAACAGCAGCTAGAGGTGGGAAAGGGGGCAAAGGAGGCAGCATCAACAGGTACAAAATTACAAGTTCACGAGTTTTTTGAGGGCATAGCAGAGATTTTGCAATGTATAGAATTTGCTGAGGAAGTTCTGGAAATGACTTTTTGGGTATGAAACTGAAGGTCAGAACAGTTAGAGCTATCTCCATTAAATTAGAGTCTCTAATCTCTTCAAAGTAGACTTTCTGATTGTAAAAAGCAATTACATTTTTCCTGCCGCTTGTTAAAGCACTTTTGGCAGTGTTTAGAAGGTCTTTTTATAGTATTTCATAAAATCTCTGAAATCTCATTAGTTAGGTCTGTCTTCATTTTTACAAAGAAAGAAATATCACTTGGTCCTAAATTGTCAAATGGGGGAGCGGGGTGTAGGGCCTAAAAATAACTTTCTGTGTGGCTGAGAATTTTATTTTGGAGAGCACTTGTAGATAGCATTGTAATGACCCACATGTTAAATTTTGCCACGACTAATTCCGTGTGTTATGAATGTCTATTGCGTGTTGTAAGACATACAAAGTTGTGATGAAATTTTATGAATTGCTATTCTTTTCATAATTTGAAACTCTTGGAGTGACTAAATATAATTAAATCCTGTCAATTGATCAGCTTTCGTCATTGTTCAGTAAAATTTTGGTGTTTTAGAAACTATCTTTGTCTCCATCATTAGGGATAAATATGAAGTGACCATTAAATATGAATGATACATTTATGTATCCCTGATGATAGTCAGATTTAGGCTAAAAATTGTTGTAGATCACTGTACAGTGATCGGGCTGATTTCGCAAGAGACTTGTAATATTGTTCTGCTGTCGTGAATAAGAGTAACTTATTGTCCAGTGTATAACACTGAATGACAGAATCTGAATTCTCTTTAAAAAGGCATAAAGCATACCAAGATTTTTGAACAGCTCAGAATTTCTTCTTTAGTGCAGTTTTCAGTTTTTTGTTCCGTTTCTCGGTGGTTCCACAACCCTTCACTTATTTTATGTGAAGTCTGTAACAGATTTAACTGTACTTGTATAATGTGTTATATTATTATGACTCATTCCACATTCTCTTGTCATTTGACTAACTTACGGATCCATGGAATATAATAAATATATGTGTAGTATGAAGAATAATGCACATTGATTGCTTCCTTACATTAGCAGTTTAAAATGTGACTGTTTTGGGTTTAGGTTCAATAAACATTTCTTTCATGACAGCTTCTGCTGTCTTATTTTGGTTTATAGGTATATCATGTGCTTAAAGTCTCTGTGATAATGCCACTTTATAATTGTTTGATGAAGGTGGAACTGTCATTGGCATTTTAGTAAATGTTATCAATTCAGAATTTCTAGGTCTCAAGATTTGTCTTCAAAAGTACATGACATATCTATTTTACAGGAATTTTAAAAAAATCTGTGTCATTTTGACATTTAGAAATAGCGTTGTAATGCTGTTTAGTGATGTGTCCATATTTTGCCAAAATATACTAGCTCTGAATATATTTTAAGCCATGCTACATTTTTTACATTGTTCTCTTGTTACTTATGTTTGTATAAGACATTTTATCTTATTAAAAATTCTGATATGAAGTACTTATTTTATTGCACAACTTATGATTAAAACTAGTTACTGTTTACCAAAATATATTTTAATAATAGCGTAGTTTAAGTATTACACCTAAACCTGTGGCCACATCTCTAAAGGTAATCATGGTAGAAAGATGGTTCTTTGGACCACTTGCTTCCAGATTTCCTATAAATAAGATGGGTGTTCTTAAATTTTCTTAAATGTACAGTCTTGAGCCTTGGAATTTTTTAATTGTGAGTTTTTCCTTCGGATGAAAATAGATGATTTTGTGAAATGGAATTTTTTATTTACAGATTTTATGCTGGTAAGAGTATTGTGTGGCATTAAGAACAAATTAAACAAAATTTAATTAATTGTACTTTCTGCATCAAAATCCATGCAAGTTAAGTCCCAAGAGAAAGAAAGTAAATGCATTATTCTGGAGACTACAACAATCTGTTGCTAGGATACATGCAATTAAATGATGTGTTGCATTATTGATGAACGTATTTCTCAATGACAAGTGCTCTGGTCTGGCTATTAGTGTGCCACCAGGCCACTAAAACTCGAGGAATATAAAATATGTACTCTCTTCATTTAGTAAAATCTCGTGTGGTTTGGTTGGAATCTGTTGTATGCATTATGTAGTTTATACATCACGGCCTTTCTTTATGTGTACCAGACCAGACAAGTGTTAGATTCACTGCTCGACTGGAGTTCCCAAAACTGCTTTTGTGCATGCATTTCTGTGAAATACGGAGAAAATATGGGTCTGCTAGTACTGCCAGGTTATGTGGTTGCGTTTCGGCATGACCTAACATCTATACCAGTGTTTGCCACTGATGTTTCACTGTATAGCTAATGAAGGATATATGCTAGAAGAAGCAAATGGAAGCAGATAGTTACTCCTGGGTAGAGATTAATACAAAAAAAGTGGATGTAGACTTTTCTTAAGTATACATCAGATTTCAAAGTTCACTATATCAATTTTCTTATTTATGGTAATATTTTATGCTGAAACAAATAAAAAATGACACAAGTTGCCTAAAAATTGGTTTATCCAAAAGTATATGTGGGAAATCTATAACATAAACTGAGCCATTAAAAAATCAGAAAGGATATTGTTTATTTGTACTTATCTGTTCAGTTAAAAGAAATTGTTAATATTGGGCATAATTTTTATAAAATATATATGTTAAGAATTTTACTTTCTAAACCACAGCTTAATTAAAATCTATCTTATCCTTTCCTAAAAATTAATAAAAAAATTTGCATAATTCTTAGTGTTAGCCGAAGGGTTAAAACACATGTTCACAAGAAAACTATTTTCTAGTGTTTGAGAAAATAAGTACAAAAACAACATTTCTTAAATTCATGTCACTTTTATATTCTGTTGAAATTTATGCAGGCATTGATAGGTCAGTATTATTTCATCAGGAACTGAGCAGGAAATGGATATTTCATGTGTAAGAGATAATTTTATATCTAGGAGATACTGAATTGAATAGTGTAGATAGTAAATGTGTTTGATGTTTTAGAATATTTTGTCTTTTGACATTATGATGGATGAATTTATCATTGTATAACAATGCATTTAAACAGTACATAGTATGTGACTTATATGTGATTGCCTCCATATTAAAATGAAAAATTATTTTTCAGCGGCAGCAGTAACCCATCGAGAAGTTCATCTCGAGGTGCTCGAGCAAAATCAACCAGTATAAATTCAACTCCTCCCACCAGAGGGAAGACTGTTAAAAACAGGAAGAGCTCTTGTTCCAGTTCCGTAACATCTGTTACTGGAACAGGAGAAGATTTGCTTGGCTTTTCACAATCAGTATCAACAACAAAGGGTGCGAGAAAACCATCATCTGGATCCACATACACCCACGGCAGGAGTTCTAGTGCTACAAGTCAGGAGTCTGCAACCTTGCTGCAGAGTAACCAGTCTAAAGCCAGTGATCGCAAATTAATTACCTCAGAAAGCAAGTCAAGCACTGGTGCTATTAAGAAACAACAGTACACTGCAGCATATCAACAAGTCAGGGTTCTAAGCTCCAACAGGAGACAGCGCAACGGGAACAACAACAATAACAACTTAACCATCACAGGAGCTTCTGATAGGGTAGGTGCAAGTGCTGCCTGGGAAGCTAACAGTGACAGAAACGTTCCATTGGATACATCGAGTTGCAAGAGCTATTCGACATCAGCTTCATCGTATACTCGTCCGGGGAGCAGCCAATCAGGGAAGAGCATTGGCAGGGGTAGAAAGAGAGATTTGATAGCACATTCAGCATCATCCAACCAGATCAGCACAGGTAAATATACACTTTATTGTTGTAAGAATGGTTTTTTTAAAGCAAATTACATTTTAGTTTAGTAATGCATTATGGCAGTTTGGCCTCGTTTTCATTGGAGGCAGACTTCATTTTTGTCACGGCGGCAGTAATGACATACTGCACGTGTTACTGTTGCATATTTACAGGAAGGAAATGTTCATGATTAGGCAACTATAACAGTTTTCAGCCGAATTGTACTGTGCCATGGTAGGAAGTATTGGTGGTAGGTGGAGGGGTGAGATAGTGAGGAAACAACATAGAGTGGTGCCAGATGTAGCATCACGGAACATTGGATTCCACAACACTACGCAAAGAACATGTAAATTGGCAACAACACAGTGCAGCTGCCGATTCATCTACCACAGAGTTTCTTAACGGACTGAGGTCTAGCTGCTTGTCAGCAGACCTCCTTTGCGCTGATTGGTCACTCACAAAGAGCGGAACTCGACTCAGCCGCCAATTCCGCTGAAAAACATAATAGCAAGATATTGATGCTGAGATGTATGTGAAAGATGTGATTGGTGATCTGCTTGCAGATTCCCACAGCATTTTCAATAGGTGTATGAATTACTTGGGGCTAACAATATTAGGCAGACTGAAATACGTACAGTACCTGAGTGTAGGTGTTTTGAGGTTGAGAATTATTTTGAAAAGATGTAAGCCTCCAGTTACTGGTCAGATTGTGGCAGAATTGATTCAAGCAGGTGGTTATATTGCATGTTATGAGATCTGGAAACTTATTAATTATGAACTGCAAGAATTTATATAAACAGGAACTTAGAAGATGTTTGTTAGACCATTTCAGTAAAGTTGTGTCCTATTGCTTTAATGTGAAATTTAACCTTGCCTTTTATTATTTATTCCTGAAGCTATAGAATCAGTATTGGCTAGATCAGAAAACATTTGCAGGATTTGGGATGAAACAACCTGGGGTATTAAGCCAACCATTCACCTATGCCTTGAGCCAAGGTTTAGGATTTGTGGAGCTCTACCTGCATTCCCCCATACATCTGAATGGCATGATGCTTAATTGAAGAGTCCAACAGATTGTATATTCACTCATTCATCCCCTTTTTCCTGCCACATTCCCACTTTCTGAGAATTAGGATATGCTTCGTATTGGTCTCGTGTTGGAGAAGTATAGTGTGTAAACTTGTAGAAAGTGTATTTTGTTGTGCTGGTAGGTATTGTGTTTATCCATGTCATCTATGATTGTCCTGTTTGTGATTTGAATTGGTAAGTTCGGAGGCTTAGTTTTGTAGTGTGTGTAGCTTGTGGTCTCTTAACCTAAGGAAAGAACAGATAGATTGAGGATGTATGGGGAGAAAATATTTGCATCTAAGAAAAAGGAGGAGGCTGGATAAAATTGCATAATTTTGGCTTCTTAACCCTTTTAACCCCGAAGCCTATTTGTAAAATCCTGTTGAAAACACCCAGGCCAATGTTCACGTATTTACAACTTAAAATGTAAAAACTCACCAAGATATGAAAAAAATCACTCTTATACACTAAATACTGTAGATTAGGAAAACAAATATGTCGTGTATCGTAATGTTATAGTTGGCTTACAAAAAATATTGAAAAGTAATATTTACAAAACAATTTTCATTTTCAGGAGGTAATATCATAAATTGTGTTTGTCTTCCTTCTTTATCACTCATCCTGCAAGAAAGAACATTTCTTTCTGCATAATTTTATATGAGTTTTGTGTCTGTACTGTTTGTTATCTGTTCCTGAATTACAACACTTTTTGTAAAACAATACACACGGAAATTCAGTGCCGGACAATGTGTCAGCAGGTGTGCCTTTTGTTTCTGCAGCACTGTTATCATCACTTTCAGTAGAATCTGACACACTTTCCAGAATAATGTCACTATCACTATCTATAGTATCCAAATAATCAAAAATGTCGGCTCCATCAATTCTTGAACTTGCACCAGTGATTGCCGAAGTGAGAAATCTAAAAAAAAAAATCCTATATACAATAAACTAAGGAAAATAATGAAACGATATCATAAGCACTATATAAACGTCAACCAAAAACACAGTTACAAGGCTAAACACTTATCTTAGACAAAATACAGCGAAATCCACAAGCAATCATTGTAAGCACACCACGAGGTCCACTTTCGACCTCAACAAATTTCATTTGTTCAAAATAAATATTTGTTGTTGGCCTAGAGGATCGATCTGTAGAGCAAAACATGAACTAAGGTATAAACTTGTGTTGTCATCTGGGAGCCTTGTATGTAATTGAAACATCAGATATAGTAGGTAGCGACGGATCGGCCAAATTTGTGGCTTAACAGCTGCTTCGACTGACGTATCGGCCGGCTGGTATAATGTAATGTTAATGTATTCATTCTATTAAACTAAATTTTATTAGGATGAGCAAATCAAGAAGGGTGAGATAGGTGAGGCATGTGTGCACATATGGAAGTTGAGAAATGCATGCCACATTTTGGTTGGAAAACCTTAGCGGAAGCAGCCATTTGTAGGCGTAGAAGGGAAGATAATATTAGGCTGCATCTTAAGAAAGTAGAGTGTGAAATTGTGGACTGGATTCATCAGGGGCATTAGGGTCTAGTAACAGGCTCTTGTGAATATTGTAATGAAGCTTTTGGTTTTGTGAAAGGTGGAGATTGCTTTGACAAGCAGAATGACTTTGCTTCTTTGCATTATGGACTTTGGGGAGTTACATGAAAGTTTCCATAATAGTTTAATTTCAAAATATTCTTGAGTGTGCAACTGTTATGTAAGACAGTTTGAAAATAGTACTTTGTGTTGTTTCCAGTAACAAGTATACCAGTATCTCAGGTGAAGAAATACCCGCTCCGAAGTCAGGTCCGACTTAGCGCTTGTGGGACAGCCACCAACAGTGTGAACATAGCAACTATCACCCAATCACAGAGACGCAGCATCACCGTGGTACCCAAGAAGAAGGCCAAGGTTGCTGACTCCACCAGGAATCTGGGTGAGTGTAGTATACATTCAGTTCTTCATTAATCAGTCATTTTCATGTCTGAAAATTTTACTGATGAGGCAGATTCAGAAAGCACAAGCTGGAAAATGCATGGAGGCAAGGTTTTCTGTATCTGTTGCTTATTATTCTTATGTACCATATTTCTACTGAGTGACACACACCTCAGTTTTGATTGTGTCTTTTTTAAAAAAGAAAATTATAGTGAATGCATGAATCACATTTGTTATGTGAATGATTGGTGTGGCTGGACCCACTCAAGATAGGCTTGTGTTAACATTTTGCCACTTCTTCTGCTGTTTTTTATATTTGTGTGTGTGTAACACTTTGTGCTACTTGAATCATAGTTGTGAATATGACACATCTGCATGAGATTTGAGTGTCATGACAGGGTTGTTGCTAAAGTCATTGTTTCAGGTGGTACCCAGTCAAGTAGCAGTAGCAATAGTACACTCACTCACAACAAAGAAGTTCCGGGAGCAGGTGGAGGAGGAAGAGGAGGAAGTGACAGTAAGGAGCAGGTGGAGGAGGGGGAGGAGGAAGAGGAGGAAGTGACAGTAACCAGGCAGAGGAAAGAGGACACCTGTTACGGCGCAGCACTCGGAGCAAGACCACCACGGGGTCCTGTGCCAGCAGCAGGTAGTTTTTGTATATGTTACAACAGTATATGCTCTTTGTAATATATCCATTATATGTATCATGGTGAACTGGTAGTTGCATTGATTTCTCTGTGCTTTTGGGAGAGACCTGTAACCACAGTTACTCAATTAGAGGACCATAATTTATCATTACTAATCAGTTATTTTAAGGATTAAGGTCATACATAAAGAATAATTAAGTATTATGTTTTGAATGTCCATTATTCTGTTTATTCTTTTAATGACCAGTGAATTATATTATTGTAATGGGATGAGACTGTCTCTGAAACTGGAATCTGAACAGGTCCCTTGTCAATGTCCCTAAGGATATGTGACTGAATGTGGAGCAGCGGTGAAATAAAATTAGCAAGAGAAGACCAAAGGACTTGGAGAAAAATCTGTTTGTCCAACACAACTCCCACATGGACTGACCTACGTGCAAACCCAGGCCTCCACCATGAGAAGCTAGCAACTAACCACCTTAGCTATTGCATGGTCTTGAATGACTGACAGTTATGTAAATAAAGCTAAATATGTAGGTGACGTAATCGTTGGTATCTGGTGACTATCATCAAATTCTCTAAAAAAATGTATGTGTGCTACACCACTTACAAAAACACAAAAAAGTCAAAAGTTTTTTTGGAGTTACTTTTTATAACTGTAAGAATCTATGATAAACTGTTCTTGTTTCTTGGCTCTTCAACCCAGTTGTGGGTTTTTGCCATCACCTTTTTGGAGGTTTCTTGGTCTTTGAAGTGTGCATTTGTGAGTAGTTAGTGACCAGCCCACTGACTCTGCACAATTTCTACCCAATTCTGATTTATTTCACTGCCAGAGCCATCTAGCAGTGAATCAGGATATTTGGGTGAGAAATGGCCGCTGAATTTTGCTTAAGGTTCTTTTACATGCCGTAAATCTACGACATGGGACCGCCGGCTTTACTTCCCCTCCTAGGGAAGTTGTGCTACGGATTTTTAACACCCTTAAAAATCCATCGACCTCAGCCAGGTTTGAACCTACAAACCTTGGGTCCAGTGGCAAGCACGCTAACCACTAGTTTATTATGGTAAACTGTAATAAACTTTAACATTGACAGCAGATCCTATTGGTTTGTATTGTTCATTCTTTTTTGTTAGTCGCCGCTCGTCCCGGGCTGGTAAGGTTCCCCTGCCAGGGGCCACCTCCACAGCCGTTGCTTCGAGCGGAGGAGTAGGAGGAATGTCTTCAAGTAGTGGTCAGGGGCAAGATGCCTCAAGCAGCAGTTCACTGGCAGCAGCTGGAGCAGCATCTGCGAATGGCGTTCTAGTTCCTGCGAGCACAGCAGCTGTAGCTGGTGATGAGAATGCAGTCCATCATGCAACAGTCACTTCAGGTAGGAAAGAGCAAGTTTGAAACCTCATTCTGATTATGCTGCCCAGTTTGCAGTGAAACAGTTATAAGGCATGGTTTATGGTGACTTTCTCCTCTAAACTTCATATGACTTTTTTTTTGTGGGGATATTTTAAAGGTAAACTTTATTGAACCATTGCACACATGGAAAAATGACTTGGAAAAATATTCAGCTTGAAGTGTTCTGTGTATCCTGAGAACTATAGCAGGTGGGCCAGAATCTGTTCAGAGCATGTGTGATTAACATTTACATCTTCTTTTGTAACATAGGTAAGAAAACTTCACTCTGTGATGTTGCTATCTCCACAGCTGCCAGGTAGCTTCCCAATATGTATGACGTACATAAAACAATGACATGTATTTTTTGTTTCTGGTAGCTGGGTCTGCATCTGGTGGAAGTGGTGGTCCATCAGGGGTAACTGCCTCTGCTGCAGATAGTGAGAGTGACGACAGTGAAGTGGGACGGCTTCAAGCTCTGCTTGAGGCTAGAGGTTTACCCCCACATCTGTTTGGAGCCTTGGGACCAAGAATGCAAACCTTGTTGCATCGTAGCATGGGTGCTAGTTCATGTAAGTCTCCTGTAAACTACATGTTCTTTATGTGTCAATAATTGAATTAGGAACTAATATTAAAATTTAAGTGTTGTTACGTGTTGGTTTTGGTGTAAGGTAATTTTGTTAATGATATATAAAGGAGGCGGTAATCTCTAGATACTGGACTTGAAAATTCCAAAATCATACAGCATAGTTCCTTTTGAATATTTAATTTAGGTAGAGAAATTTACATAAATTAATAATTTTATAACTTGGCAATATTTTTAGCATAATTTTTGCTGGCATTGTTCTCAAATGCCCACATTGCTGCACATCACCATGTTTGTAATTAACACACAGAAAATAATTTCATACAGAGTGTATGTATGTGTATGCTTGTTTCATATGAGAGAGAACAAATTATTTTTAAGTTGCTCAGTTTGTGAATGATCCTCTGCATACGTTGAGGTCAGAACGAGAGAACAAATGTTCATGTACTCCTACCAAGTGCTGCTGCTTATATGTTTATGACTATAGAAAGTGGCTACTGCTATGAAGGTATATGCTGTGCTAGTTGATTGGATTCGTGGAGAGGTAGGTGCTTAATGGAGTTAGCTTCCTGGAATTTGTCTAAGGAGACACATTAAAGTTAGAAATGTGCAGAATGCGTTACCTGCGCAATATTGTTTTGAAGGAAGAATTTGTATTAAGTGGAAATCTGTCTGAAATTGAGAGATGTGTAGGTCCCTGGGGTTCGCAGTGGCCGTGCAGTCTGAGGCATGGGCCTTGTGCCGCTTGGTCGCTGGGACCGTGGGTTTGAATCCCACTCAAGCCATGGATGTTTGTACGCGTTTTTCTGTGTTGTGCTGTCCTGTGTACAGGTAGAGGCCTTGCGACGGGCCGATCCCTCGTCCAAGGAGTCCTACCAAAAGTCTATAGATCAAGCCAACGAAAAGTTGTGACCCGCTGTGCTCAGGCACTTGAAGAACGGGTGATTCCCAGTAACCAGTAACCCAGTAGGTCCATTGATATTCTGTAATCAGGTTTTACTATATTATATGTTACCATGGTGTAAGCTTTTCATGAGGAAGTAGAAGCCATGCTGATGACTTGCATCTGTTTTTTAAGCTTCCAAAGCACAGCAGCTGCTACAGGGTCTACAAGCTACAGGTGATGAGGGACAGCAGTTGCAAGCTGTTATTGAGATGTGTCAGATGTTGGTGATGGGAAATGAGGACACTTTGGCAGGGTTCCCGGTCAAGCAAGTGGTGCCAGCTCTTACGACCTTGTTGGGCATGGAGCACAACTTTGACATGGTACACCTTTTCTTTGTTTTATTAGACAGATTGTATGGTCACAGAGTTAAGGGGTTTGCCTAAATGAAAGAGAAAGGCCAATATCTTTGATTTTACATCACAGCTGTTATCATCCAAAGGTTGGTCTTTAATTTGATATGTTCTTTTAATATTTCAGTTATATATGTTTCTGTATAAAATCTGTTACTGTTAAAATTCCAATTATCTTGTCTTTTTTATGATAACTACTCATTCATAAAATGGGTATTGTCTGATATTAGTTGGACTGGGAAGTGTTTTATGCATTTGAATTATCTGTTTAGCATAATTATATATAAATTTGGTATGATACATAAATTTTTTTCATGATTGTTTTAAATGCAGATATATCTGTCTTAGATGAAACTGATTGTATCATATGTAGTTAAAAGCATTAATCTCTTTGAATATTTTTTATCATACAGATTTACTTCTGATTGACATCCTCCTCACAAGTGCCTTACCTTTCAGTTCACAGTATTTATTTTCATGGAATTGTTTTTATTCACAGATGAATCATGCTTGTCGAGCACTGACATACATGATGGAAGCACTTCCTCGGTCTTCAGCTGTGGTGGTGGATGCTGTGCCAGTGTTTCTAGAGAAGCTGCAAGTGATTCAGTGCATGGATGTAGCAGAACAGAGTTTAACAGCCCTTGAGATGTTGTCTCGTAGGCACAGCAAGTCTATTCTTCAGGCAGTATGTTTACCTGCATTTCACGATTTTATTTTATGGTTTTTCTTGTATTATGCTAATCAGAATGTTACGATTATTATGCGATATTTACTTCTGTAATTGTATAATTGTTCCAAATTGCTTTGCCTAAAGTATTTATTATTGTTTCAGCGTGGTGTTGCAGCCTGCCTTATGTACCTTGACTTCTTCAGTATCAATGCTCAGCGTGCTGCATTAGCTATCACATCTAATTGTTGCCAGAATCTTCATGCAGATGAATTCCACTTTGTGGCTGATTCGCTGTCGCTTCTGGCAAACCGGCTTCCACAGCAGGATAAGAGAAGTGTTGAGAGCGTGTGTCTTGCCTTCAGTCGGCTTGTAGACAGTTTTCAAAATGACCCCAGTAAACTCCAAGAAATTGCCAGCCCTGTACTGCTGACCAATCTGCAACAACTGGTGTGTAATATCTTCTTTCCTGTTATGTTAAGGCAAGGTGCAATATAAATTTTTAATGTCAAATATTTTTCTTCTTTTTCAGAGTTGTGGCTGTCCTGTGCTTTTTCTTTTTTTCTCAGTTATAAAAATATATTTCCATCTTTTATAATATAGGATATGATTACTTTTGATCAGGATTACAGCAAGTTGTTTATAAATGTTTTGATGAACTTGAAGTTTTCATTGTCATAGTATTACGTAGTTATAAGATACCACAGAACATGAATGTAATAAAACAAAAGAAATTATCAACAAAACTGGGGTGCAGTCAAGTTAGTTACAAAATATTTAGTAAATTCCAGGATTAGTTAATGCAGCAAGTAGCTTCAATGTTACATTTACTATGTTTCCCAAAATTTCCCTAAAATGGTTACGGGCTGTTCCTGCATTTCTGCTGCACTACACAGACTACAAGGAGTGCCATATAAGAATAAATACAAGTTTGAAACTTATAGATTGATATGATTTTCATATGTATTTTGAAATTAATGATGTATTACTACCCTGCACCTAAGACCATCACATAGCAAATTCATGAGACATAAATAGGCTTGAAATGTTAATAATGAGCAATATGAAATGAATTGTTGCATGAAAGATTAATATTAAATATTATTCTACCACGTCCTGTTATTATGGAACAAATAAACATCAGTAATAGTTTGTTTTTGACCCTTTATTGATACAAACTCATTTTTGATGTTATCAGTTGGTTGTGTCTCCACCTGTAATCAGCACTGGGACTTTCATCACTGTTCTGCGAATGTTGTCTGTGATGTGTGCCAATTGTCCTGATCTGGCCTTAACCCTGCTGCGACAAAACATAGCAGAAACTCTGTGCTACCTTCTTACTGGCTCTGGAGATGCTAATATGGATGAGGTATTGTTTTGTGAATACTTGAACTCATTGCTTGTATATATGCTCTATATGGTCGCAGTTTTCCATGTATGTAGAAATTTTACATTTACACTTGACATAATGCAAGGCATGTTTTACTTAGGACTTGGAGCCAGCCCAAAATTTTATATGAGCCCCATAGTTTTCTGTGATGGGGTTTAATGAGTAAAAAAATTAATTCACTGTGCTGCCAATGAATGGAATAAATTACCTTCATTAATGTAGGCCTCTCCATAAGTGATGACAGATTCTTGCAAATTCATGGGTACAAAAGAACATTCTGCCAAATGTTGGGACCATAGTTGTCGATTTGTCTAAGAAATTTAACTTCATTGCACAAACCAGGTATTTTAATCACAGACTGCAATGTAGAAACTAATATTTTAAACATGGTTGTGGATGATAAACATGCATATTAATCATGGTACTACCTTGGTCTTATGGCAATTGCATTATCATTCTTCCTGACCTCTGCCCTCATGGTAAGGTGAAGGAATCAGTTTCTATAGTGGAAGGCAGATACCTCTGCTCCCACTGAATAAGGTAACAACAAAAATGTCTGGCTTCAGGTAGTTTTGAATTTTTAAGTTCTACTCAAATTTCGGTAAGGGTACAGGAGGTAGTACTATATTTTCTTTCTTTTGAGTATTTGTTTACAAAGCCTTTACTAATTTTCTGCATTGAAATAACTGAATAGCACTGTAGAATCAGAGCTTCCAATGTTTACAGCTGCCCTTCATTTTGAATGTAGGTTGAGCTGGTACCACGCAGTCCCCAAGAACTATATGAGATAACATGCCTCATTGGTGAATTGATGCCTCGCCTCCCGTCAGATGGGATCTTTACGGTAGATGCTCTTTTGGAGCGCCCAAACAACAATATCCAAGACACAGTGCAATGGCAATGGAGAGATGATCGAGGATTGTGGCACCCGTACAGCACCATTGATTCTCGCATTATTGAGGTATGGAGTCTTCAGTTATCTGAATGTAGTATATATAACATTAGTGGAAATAGTTGTATTGTCAGTGATATAAATTGGTTCAGTCATGGTCAGATGGACATGTTGATCTATTTTTATGATGTTTGGAATAAATAGTATAAATCTAGTCCAGTGCCAGTTATAGTTTAATGGAATATTGTTTGCACGAATTGCGGGATATGAGTAGATGTAGTCTGTAACATTCTGTTTCCTGTAGTTCAATTAATTATCGTTCACATTTATTCTAGAATTTTGTGATTAAGAAACTCAAGTGTTGATTTATACAAATGATTTTCATAAAAATTTAATTATCAACTTGACCTATCTGGAAAGTGAAACATTTTCTAGCATTCATTAACTTTGTCTTGGTTTCATGCCCATATCATATCTTTGGCATGGTTTCAAGGTCAAGCTCTTGGGATCGTGTGGCATGCAGTAGCAAAGAGTGGTTTTTTGTCAAACCATTCTGAATCCAGTGTTTTTCCAATCTGCTGCTGTCCCCATGACATTGATGACGAGACTTTTTGTTTTAATTTGACCTTGGTGCATAAAAATGGTTTGCTAGAAATATGCAGTTTTGTCATTTTTTCTTTCCTCTGTGCATGCACACACGTACACACAAATTGAAAAATGATGCATCATGAATTATGCAGTGAAATGTGGTATTTATTGAGAACATGGTTACAGAATGGATATCACATGTTGCAAGTTCCATTTACAACCATTTGGTCCTTGCTACAGCAAAGAATTCTTTTCAAAGAAGCATAGGTATGCTGAATGTTCTGTCTCAAAACTCTTAATTATAATGTTTCTTCTGAAAAAAGTAAAATTCACAGTTAATTGAATATCCCCTCCTTATACTACTTAATCATTATCTTGCTGGTTAGGTTTGTTGGCATTTTCCAACTTAGATTGCCCTTCAATATTTTGATTGGACGGCCCATAATTTTTCCAATGTGGCTGATACAGTAGTTGGTAGCTGATTTACTCTTTATCTGTTCTACTTATACGGGCTGATCGAAAAGTCTTACAACCCACATTCAAATACAGGGTGAGCACAAATTAACTTTACACTTTTAAATGATACAGAAAACAAATGTGGTGTACTTAGAACTTCACATTTGTACCAGTCAATAGAAAAGCTTTAATAGTTTTGTACAGACCTGACGTAGACTCAGTATGTGTTCCGCAAGTCAGTGTTGCACGGCTGTTACAGACTTTGCTAACTGTAGAGCACACCAACTCCTCTGTTGTATGGTAGCCATTTTCAAAAGTGGTGGCATCTTGCAGAGGCATGCAACTACAATCACCCTGGTCATATGAAACAAAACTTCTAGAGGTCTTCTGTCAACTGGTGTCGGTGTGAAGTTCTAGGTACACTACATTTGTTTTTTGTATTATTTTAAAAGTGTAAAGTTCTTTTGTTCTTACTCTATATTTATTGACAGTTGCATTTTAATACAATCAATTTGGATTAATAAAAACACAGTATTGCTGTGGCTCTGCAGGAGCTCACATGGGTGACGTCATGTTGTAAACTGCTTTATGTAGCTGTTATCTGTTCCATTCTCTGTTAAGACTTATTACAAATGTTTATTGAATTTTTTTATACATATTTTTTGCTGTTTTCCTTTAGTATATATGATTCTTGTTATGTAATGTTATATGAACATGAAATCTACAGTGCAGCTTTCTGTGTTGGCAAATATGCTGTTGCTTTCATATTATGTGCACTGTTGAATGTAAGGTTATTTTGTGCAGGTTCATGTTATGCTTTTGTGGCTGCAGTGAACCATGGTAGAATGGGCACAGCTTATGGGAACTTCATTATATTGAGATCAGTATTGGGCACTGTCAGTTTGTAATTTTTACACATATTGAAAGTGCTGCATAAAATGAGAGCTTTCTTTTAGCACCATCATAGCAGGTGATTATTATTGAAGCATGACTTTTTTCATAACTATTTCCGGTGACTATACTTGCAGCGTTTCTTCCAAAATTATTTGTAACTGTAAAGGTATCATTGATCCACCCTATGTGTCTCTTCATATTTAAGAAGAGAATCTGTTTCTGGATTATATGGCTTGTACCAGAATGTTTGAGAGTTGGAGTTAACGGTCACCTTGAACCCCTCTTCGCTAAGATGTGTGGCCATTCACATATGATGGCCTTACTGCTAATTTTGAAAGCAGAACATGAAGCTGACCACCACTTGTATCTAGTGGCAAGGTTAAGAAAGAGTGGTGATATAACTCCAATATACCATACGTCTTCATGATGTGGTGCTTCATAAGTACCAGCGACAATTGTGAAAACATTAGTATTCTCGCCAGGTTTCTATTGCCTATAGGAACGTAATTTGATACTAATAAAACAGAAATGATCAAAATAAATGAATACACAAGAAGTAAATCACTGTTTTAGTCACTGCCTTCAAGATATTCTTACATGGAATCAAATGTTCAAAATAAAAATAAAACTCACACTATTTATTAAGAACAAATAATTGCATATATTTATATTTGTAACTTTCTTTCATGCATAGTTATTAGCTGAAAAGGTTTGTGCATTTATTTTAAAGAGTATGTGCTTCTACTGTATCTGACCTCTTGTAGCTGATAGCCCTCCCTCTCCAAATTTTAGATGGTGAAAAATGCCCATAACATGAAATCCTCTACCACAGTACAGAAACCACTTAACATCCTATTTCCATCTACACCAGTTCTTTTGGTTGCTTCACATGTCATGTCAGTGGTGCCAGTGGTATAAGTCTTAAGAGTTCAGGACATGATAAATAATTTTTAGAAAGTTCTAACAAATCATGTTCATTAATTTTTTCAAAAATGTATAGAAATGCGATTATACGATATACACATGAACTTAAAGCAGAATTGATAGTTTTGCTAGATTACGGGTGATGTTAAGTATAGGCCACAAAGCATCAATTTTACTTCGGTAATTTTTGGAATTATATCACTTTACCTGCCACCAGCAAATCAGTCATGTTGCTCTTTGACTTGATGCCAGTAACTTTACTATAAACAGGGTAACGGGAGTGATATTTCTATGCTCACTATGGCTGTCTGCATGGTAACCTGACAACAGCAAACTTTGGCTGGAGTGTTGGGAATGTTCCAGAAATATGACATTGTCATTTCAAGGAAGGTAGATATGAAACTTGCTTCTGGTGATGTACGTGTTTAGATGATTAGGTCAGGCATGTGGCTGTACCTGAAGTGCCTTCTGTCGCAATGTAGCAGGTGCTGCTGACACTTAGTGGCTGATGCTCCATTTGCGTTCTGGTGCACATCATAGCAAAGGAGTCTGAAAATTTTTGTTGCGTTTTGCCACTAGGCTAGTGAACGGGACTCAAAAATTATTCTGGGGTTGTGCTTTGTGTTGTCTGTGTTTGGCCCTAATTATGACAAGAAAGTGGAAGTGCATAAACTTCAGTACAGAGCTCCGAGTAAAAAATATGTGTCTGTGAAGTCAGTGGGTCATTAAAGAGTGAAGTAGAAAGGTGGTATGGATTGTCTTCAGAATTATATATCACTTGTTCTCTGTGATGGAAAATCAGTGACATACACAGCCTACATTGCAGTTTTTGTATGTAAGAGTTGGTTTGATTTCAATTTCTTTGTGTTTCACATCTGTCACGCTAAGTTCTATTCAAGGCAGTGCATTTATTCTCAGAAGTTATATATTTAATTATGTTTGGATATTATGAGCACCTGTTAGGAAGAGCATAATTCAAAATTCTATAAATTCTCATTTTATTGAAGTTGCATTGTGTATTTATGGCAGTTTCCCCAAAGCATGTCTCATAAAGAATGCCAAGTGGCAGAAGTATGTGCTCATGCGCAACAGTGGTCATAAGATTTAGCTGCAAGTCACTGCACCAATCTAAATATTTCTGTTGGTAAGGTTAGGGTTATGTAATAATACATTCCTAAAAGCCTAAAGCAGTTTATTTGTGATAATCCAGTTTATTTTGAATACTGTGTTTGATAAATATGCTTTGAGTGCTTACTGTTTCAAGTGTACTCTTCTAT